TCATTAACAGTTGCGTCTCCTAATTTCGAATGGATCAAGCGTGGTTAACGAGGCCCGCGGGCAAATTTAGAAATATTTTCGTAGTTACATATTACCAATGTCATTGTGGGCTTTGCTATTCAAAATCTCCATTTAAGTCATATTTTACCTAAGCTGTATAATAATACTGCGTATTGTTGTCATTCTCCTTCTTAGAGAGAATTATTTGAAGATGGTTGGATTTATTCAGATTCCGTTGCGGACTTTGACAAGGATCAGCACTGAGCTGAGACGAGTCCCCGGTATCTGCTAGTGTCGGGGATTGTCTCTAATTCTTCATCAAGTCTGGAATGGTCCACAAGCTGTGAATACCCTGTCTGAGTAGCGGTAAGAACAAATAAGGACTGACTTAAACACTTCATCGTTCTAAACTAGGCGTAAATAAATTGAGGAAAACGATAATAAAAGAAATATTGCTCGGTAATCCTGACCTATATTTCCTGTAGGTGAGTTTAAACTGCATGGTATTTGCTTTCAACGGCTGGTAGGGATAAATCGTAGGGCCGTCTAATGACAAGTCTCCCATCCGAAGTGCACGGCAGAATTCATGGTTAAGGGTTTACTGTTTGACTTAAGAGCATTTAATGCGTGCTTGATGAGTGATAAGTGTGCCTGTGGTTGTTTAGTGAACTTAAAAAATAGGTGAAAAACATTCAGAAAAAAACAAAAAGCCCGATAAGAACTCCTATTGGTCAACAAACGAAGCCTATAGCCCAAGAAAATTATAAGAACAGCGACCATTGGTTAATAAAGCAAGTCTATGTACCAATAACATTGTTAGGGCAACCTCATGTAAAACAGAACTCACCTTCGATGTTCAGCATCACTCAGCGCATTGGCGATATCATCTTCCTTTTGACGCGACGCCTTGTACTCCGGTTTTAGTTCCGTGAGACGCTGCTCTACCAGCTCAATCTGTGAATTAACACGAGCCAGTTCTTCGGCAGCTCGCTCCCGGGCCGACTTGCCGCTGCGCAGGGTAGCCGAGTAGTCGGCGCAGGTGAGTTGCAGCTGCTCTCGACGTTGAAGCACCTCGCTGACCGAATGCTGCA